TTAGTGTAGACTGCAGTGTGGAAACCTCCATGGAAAAAGAGCGGAGGTTTCCACACTGCAGTCTACACTAAGGAAACGAACATAGGAATGTGCCTAAATGCCAACAGCGACTGCCCAGACAGGTACAAGAGGAGTGTTGTTAACGCTTATCTCGACCGTGCTCTCAGCCACAGCTCAGAATGGAAGCAAGTCGACGAAGAACTCTGTAGGGTAAGGCAGGTCCTAGTCAATAACGGCTTCTCCAATGGTTTCGTCGAAGACATCATAAGAAGGAAAGTGAAACACCATGCAACCTCTGAAGAGACAACTAACACACGACCTATACCCCCTATTAGACTATTTTACAGGAACTTCTTTTCCACAGCTCATAAAACGGAGGAAAGGGTCCTGAAAGATATTGTTAATAGAAACGTTATCCCTACAGACAAAAATCAGAGGATACAACTGACGATTTACTATAAAACCAGAAAAACGGCCAGCCTACTCATGAGAAACTCTCCAGACACAAAACAGAACGCTTTAAAAGAGACTAACGTCGTCTATGCCTTCAAATGCCCTCTTGGGGACTGTAAGCTCCAAAAAACCCAGTATATAGGCAAGACAACAACATCTCTTTCTAGGCGTTTAACGATGCATAAGCAACAGGGCTCCATTAAGGAACATATAATCTCTTCCCACAACCAAACCATCGCCAGAGAAATCCTAGTAAACAACACAGAAATCATCGATAGATACAGCGATAGCAGGCGGCTTGACGTTTGCGAGGCACTACACATCAAGAAGTCAACACCAGCAATCAACAGCCAATTAATGCACAACTATATTCTACCCACCTCAAGACTCCGCTCCAATATAGAAGCATCAAGAAATATGGACCAATAGGCTTTCTACAAACACTTCTATTCAATACCCATTTTTCGTGTTCCGTCTTGTGTTGATGAAATTAATACCCTATTAATGCCACCTCACCCCATCCACCTCACTAAAATGTAGATATAAAATCGGAGATGCGTAAGTTCTATTCAGTTGTGTATTTGTAAACTAAAGTCTTTGAAAATGTAATAAGTTTTACGAAACGCGTTCGTGTCGCGTCAGACTAGAAATAAAAATGAATTTTGGAGAATTGATTTTTGATTTACCTCCAACAGTGAAAAGAAATGTACGAAAGATTGAGAAAATTCGTGTTAGAATTATTAATCTTACTTTTTCGGTCATATTTATTAATATATATATATATATATATATATATATATATATATATATATATATATATATATATATATATATATATATATATATATATATAACTGAAAACTCACACCCCAGAAGTGACTCGAACCCATACTCCCAGGAGCAACGCAACTGGTATGTACAAGACGCCTTAATCCACTTGACCATCACGACCGGACAAAATGAGGTGATAGCCGAGGCTATTTGAACCACCCCACCGCCGGCACTCGGATAGTAATCTTGGGCATAGCATTTTACCAAATCACCTCATTCTTTGGGGCACACGTGAGGAACACAAATGCGAACAAGCCTGAATGGTCCCCAGGACAATATGCAACTGAAAACTCACACCCCAGAAGTGACTCGAACCCATACTCCCAGGAGCAACGCAACTGGTATGTACAAGACGCCTTAATCCACTTGACCATCACGACCGGACAAAATGAGGTGATAGCCGAGGCTATTTGAACCACCCCACCGCCGGCACTCGGATAGTAATCTTGGGCATAGCATGGTGGGGTGGTTCAAATAGCCTCGGCTATCACCTCATTTTGTCCGGTCGTGATGGTCAAGTGGATTAAGGCGTCTTGTACATACCAGTTGCGTTGCTCCTGGGAGTATGGGTTCGAGTCACTTCTGGGGTGTGAGTTTTCAGTTGCATATTGTCCTGGGGACCATTCAGGCTTGTTCGCATTTGTGTTCCTCACGTGTGCCCCAAAGAATGAGGTGATTTGGTAAAATGCTATGCCCAAGATTACTATCCGTGTGCCGGCGGTGGGGTGGTTCAAATAGCCTCGGCTATCACCTCATTTTGTCCGGTCGTGATGGTCAAGTGGATTAAGGCATCTTGTACATACCAGTTGCGTTGCTCCTGGGAGTATGGGTTCGAGTCACTTCTGGGGTGTGAGTTTTCAGTTGCATATTGTCCTGGGGACCATTCAGGCTTGTTCGCATTTGTGTTCCTCACGTGTGCCCCAAAGAATGAGGTGATTTGGTAAAATGCTATGCCCAAGATTACTATCCGAGTGCCGGCGGTGGGGTGGTTCAAATAGCCTCGGCTATCACCTCATTTTGTCCGGTCGTGATGGTCAAGTGGATTAAGGCGTCTTGTACATACCAGTTGCGTTGCTCCTGGGAGTATGGGTTCGAGTCACTTCTGGGGTGTGAGTTTTCAGTTGCATATTGTCCTGGGGACCATTCAGGCTTGTTCGCATATATATATATATATATATATATATATATATATATATATATATATATATATATATATATATATATATATATATATATATATATATATATATATATATATATATATATATATATATATATATATATATATATATATATATATGTCTCATTAAATATGACCTCATATTCTGTATTTACTATCTTCTGATTTAGGGCTTCTATCCCTCTAACTATTTTCTTAGCATCAGGGCTTAGCTGAAAGAGGAGTTCTCCAAAATTCATTTTCGTAATTACAAGGTGAAGAAAAAAGTGAAGTACTATAGAATGTATTACACTTATTTATACAATTTGCACAACGTTTTGAACCTCCATGGTTCATTCTCAAGTGAAAAGAATTTTCAGAACAGTTTGATTTATACCTGCACTGGGTCAGGTGATAAGACAATAAAGGTAAAAACATGGGGGATACATAAGGGATAAATGGGGGTGAAGCACATAAGAACATAATAATAAAGGTAACTGCGGAAGGCCTATTGGCCCATACGAGGCAACTCCTATCTACATACAAAGATTAATCAGGAGTAATTGGCCTGTTATGTTGAACAGTGTCTTCTGTGTTGGCATGGTAGGGAACCATGAACACCCAAATCACGGAACTATTTACTCTACCCACCATGAGAGTAAGGACCAGACCAGAACATAACGCTATATATATATATATATATATATGTCGTACCTAGTAGCCAGAACGCACTTTTCGGCCTACTATGCAAGGCCCGATTTGCCTAATAAGCCAAGTTTTCCTGAATTAATATATTTTCTCTAATTTTTTTCTCATTAATGATAAAGCTACCCATTTCATTATGTATGAGGTCAATTTTTTTTATTGGAGTTAAAATTAACGTAGATATATGACCGAACCTAACCAACCCTACCTAACCTAACCTAACCTATCTTTATAGGTTAGGTTAGGTTAGGTGGCCGAAAAAGTTAGGTTAGGTTAGGTTAGGTAGGTTAGGTAGTCGAAAAACAATTAATTCATGAAAACTTGGCTTATTTGGCAAATCGGGCCTTGCATAGTAGGGTGAGAAGTGCGTTCTGGCTACTAGGTACGACATATATATATATATATATATATATATATATATATATATATATATATATATATATATATATATATATATATATGTCGTTCCTAGTAGCCAGAACGCACTTCTCAGCCTACTATGCAAGGCCCGATTTGCCTAATAAGCCAAGTTTTCATGAATTATTTATTTTTCGACTACCTAACCTACCTAACCTAACCTAACTTTTTCGGCTACCTAACCTAACCTAACCTATAAAGATAGGTTAGGTTAGATTAGGTAGGGTTGGTTAGGTTCGATCATATATCTACGTTAATTTTATCTAAAATAAAAAAAAATTGACCTCATACATAATGAAATGGGTAGCTTTATCATTTCATAAGAAAAAAAATTGAGAAAATATATTAATTCAGGAAAACTTGGCTAATTAGGCAAATCAGGCCTTGCATAGTAGGCTGAGAAGTGCGTTCTGGCTACTATATACGACATATATATATATATATATATATATATATATATATATATATATATATATATATATATATATATATATATATATATATATATATTGTTGTATACTGGCAGCAGGTTTTCAATTATACATGTTTCATATAGGGCGTCTGTCCGTCTGACTAGTGCTCTCTCATTTTAGTTTAATTGGAAGAGGATTTCTCCAAAAGTCATCTTCGTTCGAGGTGAAGAAAAATAAATAAATAACTGTAGAATGTATTTCACTTCTTATAAAATTACACAACGTTTCGAACCTACATGGTTCATTCTCAAGTGATGAAACAGTACAGGGCATATTGGATTTATACCATAAAGAGGTTAGGTGAGATAAACATCATATTTCACTCATGGTAGGTAGAGTGAAATACCCAAATTACGGAATTATTCACTCTACCCACTATGAGAGTAAGAACAAGACCGGAACGCGAGAATGCCAACAGAGAAGACACTGCTCAACATGCCACGCCCATTACACCTGATTCATTTGAGCATTAGGAGTCTCGAACCATTGGCCCCAGCAGCGGGACACAGTAGCTCTATCAACTGGACCACGGATAGCCTTAAGTATTACTAACTGTTTCCCCACAGATACTTCTAGCAAAATGATTTATTAACATGTATATTACCGCATTGATAGCTAGTAAGACTTTTTCCCATTTTAAATTATCTGACAAATATAGAACGAATATATTTATTGTAGTTGTCAGAATATCGTTAGCATTTATAAATTGCCTTATTTTATATCCAAAATCCTTTCATTGATATTTACACCAGTAACAAAATTATACATGTCATTAATAACAGCACCAAAGGAGAAGCCTTTGGGAATCCCGCTTGTGACCCCTAGTGTTTTCAACGACGCGTAAATCGAATTTAATATTAAGCCACCGAGATCTGCCTTCATGCTGGCAGTTACACAAACACTTGTTTTGCTAATATCACAAACATAACTAGAATAATATATTGTAATAATTCTCATGAAAGAGTCAGAGGAGGCGGTGCAGGAGGTGGCGTGTGAGGCACCGTTCACTGCCGTGGGAGACATGTGTCTCACCTTCCTCACCCAGGAACACATGTCCTGGGAGGAGGCTGTGGACACCTGCACCCTGCTGGGGGGACAACTGGCCATGTTTGACGACATCGAGATGCTCAGAAGCATTTATTTACATATACACGACCAAGGTAAGCATTCAACACCGTAATTATTATATCTTTTCACTGTAGATTATAATTTGAGGGCCAACCTCCATATTCTGACTTTACAAAGAATGAAAAAATCGTCACAATAAATTCCAAGAGAAAATTATGAATAACTCTGAAAAATAAATATAAACAAATTTGATGCTATAGGTTGACACAGGGACAAAAACTACATCATTCTCAAAAAAAGTATTTTTATTCTTTCAAAGTTATTGTAACGTTACAGGGCAAAAATTTAAATAAAACAAATACTGGGTCTGTGAGGTGACGCGAACCCGAGACAAAGGCAATCCCAACAGCATTCTTTACCACTGTACCAGTGATGACTGGTTACTAGTCTTTCAACCGGATTTTAACTGAACTCACAGGAAATCTGGAAGCTCCTACTGAAGCCAGTCCAAGTTTTACCTAAGACCCCCCCCCCCAAGCACTCATGTGAAGGATAAAGTAATTCATCACCGTACGCCTTAACTTCAGATACACTAAGAAAATCTCACAAATGTGATATACATCAATGGAAAAATCCACTGGGGCCTTGAGGGGATACGAACCAACGACCAAGGCATTTTTCTCATTGGCAATCCAAGGCATGGATTTTCTCACTGATGTATATCACGATAGTGTGATTTTCTTTGCGTATCTGAAGTTGGGGCGTACGGTGTTGAACTACTTTACCCTTCACCCAAGTGCTTGTGGGTCAAATGTAAAACTCGGACTGGCTTTAGGAGTCCAGACTTACTGTGATTTGATTAAAAATCCGGTGGTAAGACGTTTAACAAGTGACTGTGATCCAGTGGTAAAAATGCGACAGGCAATAATTTTGTCACGGGTTCGTGTCGCCTCACAGCCCTAATGGATTTTCTCATTGATGTATATCACGTTACTGTGATTTTCTGTGTGAAATAATGTAAATAATTTTAATGACCATACTCAGGGAATGTGACCTAAGAAGTGAGATGATTTGACAAAGGATTTCTGTATAAAAATCCTTGATATTCAAAAACCGTCATGTTGAAATTTTAAAATTTATTTTCATTATAACTGAGATTACAATTATCAGAAGTATTACATTATATTAACACTCAGTGATGCAGGGAGGGAATGTTTAACCTTGAAATAGTATTTGAGTTCAATACTTTTTTAAATACAGGAAAAAAAGAATTAGAATTAACAAAAATGAATCTGTAAATAATTTAGGGAAAATGAATATGTATTAACATAGATTATTGATCCTGATTTGATAACTTAGATATCCATAAAAAGTGAAGGCAAAATTAGTGTTGGGACATTAACTAAAAGAGTGGGAGGACATACTCTTCTATTTAAACAATCTTGAAGATTTAATTAAACACTGAAAATAGATAACCATTATTTTGAAAAGTGTTAAAATATAATTCTCTATGGTTTCAGTTAGGAGATTTTAACATTTTGTTCAACTCAGCCAATGAAAATGTTTTGAGGATTTTGGAAACGTTTATGTATAAAATCTAAGTAACCCTAAATTAAATTGTCTAGACCTACAGGTTGCTTCATTCATGTTTAAATAATTAGTCAGTTTGGTTTAGTTCCTCCTCTTTTTGTTTTCTTTTGGTTTGTTTTTCCCAGATCGAAACTTATTATTGTAAGCTATCCCAGGATGGGGTATAGTCGTTTCGGACACGAGACGATTGGACGAAGCTCGTTTTCTGTTTGATAAAACCGTGTATATTGTAGCTTATTCTAAGATGAATTAGTTTAGATTAGCCTGTATTGGGATCAGTTGGGTTAAGTTAGGTATGTTTCAAAATTCCTTGGCAAACTGTCTTCTGTACGATGTGATTTGTATCCACCAGGATTCATCAAGAAGTTATGATAACCCGTTCACAGTCCAAGTCCATTCCATCCAGCGTTCGATTCCCAAAGACGCATTCATGAATTTGAACTTGCCGTTCATTCAAAATAGGAAATCCTCATATATAAATTAATTTTGTTATATATTTACATATTTAGGCAATGGTTAGGTTCGGTTAGGTTCTGTTGGAAATTACATATGTTTGTAGTACGTGGGTGTAGCTTTTACCTCGTTGTGGTTCGAACAAAAGTCGTCAACAAAGCACTTGTTTGAGAAGTATTTGAACGTCCAACCCGTCCTCGACTCAAGTCCATTACATTCAGCAGTCAACCCCACAGACGCATTCATAAATTTTAACATGCTGTTTATTCAAAACGGGAATTTTCTCAAGTATAAATTAATATTATAATATATGAGCATATTGTGTATATATAGGCATAGGATAGGTTAGGTTAGGTGTTTAGGTTCTGTTAGCGATTATTTGTATTTGTAGTACATGGGTGAAGCATTTACAGCGTTGTGATTCGAACAAAATTCGTCAGTGAAGCACTTGTTCCGGATATGTTCGAACGTCATCAGTTGTGAGTCGTGTGTAAACCGCTTTTCATTCATAAACGGGGTTTGGCGGGTGCATGGAATCACTTTTGGATCTTTGTTTGGAGGACGGGCTGGTTACACACGCAACCCGTCCTCGACTCAAGTCCATTACATCCAGTGTTCGACCCCACAGACGCATTCATAAATTTTTACAAGCTGTTCATTCAAAATGAGAATTTTCTCATATATATATTATTATTATAAAGTATTAGCATATATTACATATATAGGCATAGGATAGGTTAGGGTTTGTGTTTAGGTTCTGTTGGCGATTATTTGTATTTGTAGTACGTGGGTGAAGCATTTACAGCGTTCTGGTTCGAACAAAATCCGTCAGTAAAGCACTTGTGCCGGAAGTGTTCCAACGTCAACAGTTGTGAGTCGTGTGTAAACCGTTTTTCCTTCATAAACAGGTGGGGTTTGGCGGGTGCATGGAATCACTTTTGGGTCTTTGTTTGGAGAACGGACTGACACACAACGCACAACTGATGACGTTCGAACGCTTCCGGAACAAGTGCTTCACTATCAAATTTTGTTCAAATCATAACTCTGTAAATGCTTCACCCACGTACTACAAATACAAATAATCCAGCCCGTCCTCCAAACAAAGATCCAAAAGTGATTCCATGCACCCGCCAAACCCCCTGTTTATGAATGAAAAATGATTTACACACGTCTCACAACTCATTTCGTTCGAACACTTCCGGAACAAATGCTTCACTGACGAATTTTGTTCGAACCACAACGCTGTAAATGCTTCACCCACGTACTATAAATACAAATAATCGCCAACAGAACCCAACCACCTAACCTAACCTAACCTATGCCTATATATGCACAATATGCTAATATATCATAATATTAATTTATATATGAGAAAATTCCTGTTTTGAATGAACAGCATGTTAAAATTTATGAATGCGTCTGTGGGGTCGACCGCTGGTTGTAATGGACTTGAGTCGAGGACGGGTTGAATAATCGCCAACAGAACCTGAACACCTAACCTAACCTAAATACTGCCTAAATTATGTACAATATGCTAATATAAAATAATATTATTTTATATTTGATAAAATATAGATTAATAAGATTTAAAATTAACATAATTGTCAATTAACAATTAACCAGTTTTGAATAAACAGTATGTTAAAATGGATGCTGCATCTTTGGGGTCGACCACTGGATGGAATGGAATTGCTCGGAGAACGTGTGTGTGTTAACCGTTTTTCATTCATTAACACGGGCTTTAGTGGGTGCATGGAATGGACTTTGGCCTTTGTTTATATGGGCGGGCTGGTTACGCAAGTATGTACGAACCAGTACATCTTTCCTCAATCTTTGGCTGCTTTGCTTACATTTATTAATTAGTTTACAATCTCTGAAGCACTAGGAGCCTGCCTATAACAATGTGTGAACACTGTATACACATACTCATATAATTATAATCATCTAATTGTGCTTGTGGGGTTTGAACTTCGCCTCTTTGGTCCTGCTCTATATTGTCAATCAACTGGTGTATAGGTTCCTAAGTCTACTGTGCTCTATCACATATATGTGTGAAATTACGTATAGAATCTGCCTCCACTACATCACTTCCTAATGCATTCTATCTATTAACTACTTTGACACTGAACAAATTATTTGTAATGGCTATGTGGCTCATTTGGGTACTCAGTTTCCACCTGTGTCCACGTGTGAGAGTATTACCCGTGTTAAATGGTTAGTCTTTAGCTACCCTATCTATTCCCTGAAATTTTATGTGATAATCATGCTTCCCCCTAACTCTTTTGTCATTTAGTAATGTGAGGTTAAATTCACGAAGTCTTTCCTCGTATCTCATATTTTGTAGTTCTGGAACTAGTCTGTTGGCATACCTTTGAATCTTCTCCAACTTTATCTTCTACTTGACTAGGAATATACTCCACGCTGGAGCCGCATACTCCAGGGATGGTAACATATGTGGTATACAAGGTTCTGAATGATTCCTTATACAGATTTCTAAGGGAAGTTCTGATGTAACTAGCCTCGCATTCGCCGTTTTTTTGTTTTTGCAGGGATATTCCTGCGCGGGCCCAAAGCATGTGGCTGGCCTATTATGTATTGCTTGTTTCTGTTCTGCTTAGGGACAGCATAAGTATTTATGATTCGTATGTTCGCTTTTGTAAGATTATGCCCCATGTGTCTTACAACTTCTTCTGCTCTATTGAATCAAAGTTGAAATCTTATTGGGTTTGTAACTTTGCACAGTGTTAGATAATGTTCCAGTGGTCTGTCAGGCATTTCTCCACAATGGTGCATACGCTACTGATGTTATTCTTTTCAATTGGACTTCAGGAGACAAGTTCGGTGTGATATCAATCCTTAGATCTTACTCTCTGTTCGTTTTATGGAGCCTTTTATCTTCCATGTGTATTCAGGTCAATTTATAGCCTCTTGTTATCTTTCTCTGTCCTAATCCTCCTAATTTTCACATCATCAGTAAGCATTGAGAAGAATGAATACATTCCCTTCTTAAAAATAATTTACATATATGAGAAACAGGGGAGGTAGGACC